GCCTGTTTCACAGTGTGTACATACTTTCTTAATGTCTGACTAACGATGGTGCTTTATGAACGTGGCCTTGTGCACAGGAAACAAACGGTAGAGTGTTAGCTCCTTTGGAGTAGGAAACATATCCTTGGTCTGACCAACACTAATCTACACCCCCTTTTCTCACCTTGCCCTGGCAACCTCAGTCTTCACCTCTGAACCTTTCCAATGTTTCCCTTGGGTTCCTCGACACGTGTAACCCCCCACTTACCCCCTAGGCTTTGTAATACTTGTTTCTGCTGTACTGCATCCTGAACACCAAACCCTATACTATTGACTTACAGTTCTCATATCAACACGTTCACAGCTATTGCTCCACTGAACACACAGAAACAGGGAAATATAATTACAAATCAGTGAATTTTAACCACTGTGGCACAAAATTATTTAATATTTTTAAATGAATCCCAACTGCTGCACCCCTCATTTTTAGTTTAGAGTCAGTTTCACCATTTGTTTTTATAGAATTCATCACAACTCAAACTAGTATTTAGTTTGAACTCAGCTGTAAATACACCAGGATCTTCAATAAATCAAACTGTTTTAAGTTTGTCCAGCAGGGCACTCACTGAGTTCAGAAATGCTGCCCACACAGGTAGCCAGCAGCGACTGTTCCAGTGTCCTCAGCTCCAGCTGGGCATAGGCATCCTCCCTGCTGTCCGCAGCACTCTGCTGGTTTTCTGTATATGGACTGAAGTGGGCCGGAAGAGACAGCACTCCTAGAAGACACACAAATGAAAAAAATAGTTAGATTAATGTTAGAAATCTTAAGGTCAGACAAACAAACAAAAACAAACAAAAAAATCCTCGACCATCAGTTCACACTGCTCCTCTGTGACTCCCAAAACAATTACTGTGGTGATATTTACAGTGTATTTATAATCCTGTCAACACACGAACGACCTCGCTGAGGGCAAATAACACATGAGGGAACATGAGCCGAGCTTCTAACACGTTCAGGAAAATAAACAACACACAACATGACATAAGGCTAACACAAACAAACGCTGCATACATGTCCTGAACTAGCATTGAAAAATAGAAATACAGACAGAATAAATGAAGAGATAATAACTACTGGGATCTTTCATTACAAAGAACAGGTATTGTGAAAACTGATTCTATTTTTTCAAATAATTGCGAACATTTTGAAACATCCAATAATCCAATGGACAAGAAAGTCCTGCTGTCCTAGATTAGCTGATGAAACTGTGTTCAACCATCAGAAATGAATCAAGGTCAACAACAAAATAATGAACACAGTGATGGAGGATTGTGATTTGTTCAAACACGTGATGATGTCAGACTTTAACAGCGATTGAGCATGATTCTTCTCTCTACCATAGGCAGTTGTCTGATATCATCATGTACAAGGAGACAACAGTGTGTTTATAAAAACCAAAGCTGTCCTCCTGTTCTTCCAGCTCTGTGCCTCCATGTGCAGCTTTGTAGCTACAAAAGTTTATCACATGTGATGACTGGGTTTCACGAGTCCTTTTCCTGTCTTCATTTTTTATTAGATGCATCTGGAAAATAAGAATTCTATTAAGGGGCTCACTGGAAATAGAGAACCTAACTTCAGTTTAAAAATGACATCCATCTCTCTCTCTCTCTCTCTCTCTCTCTGTGTGTTTCTGTGCTGTTCTCTGCACCTTCTGTTTGCCATCTGACTAGTATAATATGTGCTGACTCGTACTTTCAGCACAATGTTAACGGCTGCCTCTGACACGGCACATCTGCTACAAAGAACATGCACGCAGACAAGAAAACTATACACAAAAAAGACTTTCAACACACTGACAGTCATTCTGGTCATCACAAAGAAACACACGTCTGTGCACACGGCACTTATTTCACTTATTTCATGTGTTTCAGGTATTATGGCAACTATATCTGCTCAGTTTATGTTGTAGATTCAGATTTGAAACAACCTTTTCTTTATTTTTTTTGGTGCAAATTCTGTATTGCTGTGCACGCTCTGCTGCCTCAGTGTGTACACGAGGCCACAGTTTATGGCCACTATAACTAAGACATCCTTGTGGCTGTTAAGGCATGTAAAGGATAATGTGATAAAAAATAATTTAGGAATGGCTTGATTTAAACTTGCGTCAGGGAAGTTATTGCCTCCTGAGGAACATAAGCCATTTAAAGCCTCATTATTGCCTCAGTAACGTGGTGAGTTAAGTGAACAGATCACCTGGTGTGTTTATGTGTGTTTCTATATGTAAGCAGGAGTGAGTGGACACAGTGGCTACAATCAAGGGGACACCCGTGATTTGTTTTTTTAACTGAAAACTGAAAACTAAAACGACAGGATGGACAGTGACGATGGTGGGAAGGAAGCATGAATGAATGGAGGAATAGTAGGAAGAAATGAAAAAAGGAAGGAAGCAAGCAGGGATGAAATGATGGAATACACATTAACAATAAAATTCTGTTTGTTTTGAAACTAAATGGGTCCAACAGGGCGTCTACGGTACTTACAGCTTTCATTTATGAGCTTTAGCCTATGTTTTGTCCAGAGCAGTGCATTCTTTGGGAATGTGAATCCAGTTTGAGTTGATTCTGCTATATTCTTTCAAAGCTGTGGCAAACTGGCACAGATGACCACAGTCTCAGAGGTTCCCACAGTCCCACCCCGTGGCTTGCCTCACCACTGAAACCCAGTGGAAGGTACTGACGTAGGTCTCTAAGCCAAGCAGTGCCTGTCTCTAACACCACCACCACATCATGGAGAAAACAGCTACAGCTGATATTCATTCCTGTTCCCTAGCAGTGACAACAACTAGTGGTAACGCAAAGAGAAAGATATGAGAATGCAAAGAATCTCTTTAGGAATAAAGACTCTCTGAGACAGTAAGGAGGGAAACACAAGTGGCAAAAGGGATTCATTCCGACGTTACCATTACGGCTCCATTTCTGAGGTTGACCGTGCAAATGTCATGTGGGAATCCCAGCTACAAATCACAGCTGAAACCACGAGTCCTGTGGCCATCCCAACTATCTTTCAAAGCAATGCAGCTCCTCCTACCTCAGCCAAGCCATCATTCACTATGATGTTGGAAATACTCCGGGACAAGGTCAAAAAAAAGCAACAATTTTTGTTATGCCAAAAGCCAGAGATATTACAATAACCACATTCTCAGTCTTTGCTGTTCTTGTGATATGTCATGTTATCTCCTTATGTCACGTTGTCTCCTTGAGTCCAAGCCTCTGTTTTTATAACTCATGCTTGACAGAGGCTGTGAAGCATTATCTATTTTGTCTATGGAGCCTATCACTCCTCATATCTACTGCATTTGGAATTCAAATTGCTGACAGAACTTAGTGAGTATTCAGCCCCATAATACTTCTTTGTGTTGTCGGGTCCTTTCAGAGGTTTAGGTTTATTTCTGTTCCCACTGCCTCGTCCTCGATAAAGAATGCATTCTTCAGTGCAGGAAGATTTGTTTTGTCTACCTCGAAGACATGCATTAAACACACACACACAAAAAAGAATCATTTGGCTGTGCTTTTGCTGCATACTCCCATTACTTTAAAAATCTCTATGACATGGGGCGTCTGCATAGACACAGTCATAAATACACACAATCAGAAACACACAGATGAGCACCTGTCACATCTCTGTTCACAGTCTCTTCATTCACTGCAGAGGGGATGGAGTCGGCGTTCAGCTTCAAAGCCACATCCTGTACACAGAATGAAGCTCAGGGCCAAGAGCTTTCATACTTGTCCCTGTGTGAAGGCTGAAGAATCGACGATCACACAATAATACAGTGTCTGATGGCCATGTTAACGGGTGTGTATCACACCCACGGTCCCCTGTTTTCTTTCACACAACCCTTTCTCATACAACAACAACAAAATAAAACACATCCACATGATTCAATACATTTCAGTGGAATCCAAAGGCCAGGTGGGTTCCTTCACCCACAGGACAAGGCTCTTATGTCCATTTGTCTCCAAAACACCTGCTTTACACACATCCAGTGTCACCCACTCACCATAGTTTCCCTGAAATCACGGCTGTAATTTTGACATTTGTGGACAAAGCTATAATCCAGCTTTTTTTTAAACACGGAGCCATGTTTTGTTGTCAGTGGAAAATGAATGAGAACATTTGGCACAACTAGTTGTAATGACTGTTTAACTGATCCTGGTAGTTTGAGAACACTGCTAAGCCAGTGGTTACCAAAGTGGGGGGTCAGCGGGTCAAATTAATTCATTTTTAAGCAACACAAGAGCAGAGCCAATGGCACAATAATCATTTTATTATGATAATGAAGCCAGAATTGTAATTGAAATCAAATTTCGATTACTCACCAAGCACTAATAGCTGTGCAGATGTTAAATGTCTGTGTGTGTGAGAGTAGGGGGGCTGCAGGGAAAGGAATGATTGCTAAGCTACGCAACTGTACAAAGTCAATCTATAAGTGCACAGATTGATGACATACCTTTTGGCTCTTAACTTGCTCAAAATTCGTTGAACGTGTTATGCAACACAAGCTGTTACCTCAGGAAACACCACTTCGTTTGTTTGCCTTAGTCACTGTTAAAATGCAGCACAAAACTGTTGTTTGAACAACCAGTCACGTACCTCTACCTTTGAAAGTTCCTCTCAGCCCATACCAGTTCTAGGTGCTGTCACAACCGAAGTCATGAAATGTTATAAAAAGGTAGATTGACCAAAGGAGACCAAAGATGCAAACATGTCAAACAGACAGCCATGTTCTTCCTATTCTCTAGGAGGAAGACTGCTGCAGGGGATGACCACTGGGGTGAATAGGAATCAAATGTAGTCTGGCAAAGTTTTTTGTTGTTCCCTGGCGCCACACAGCTAAATTATATTGGCACGTCATTCGGCCGTGTTTTGTTGGGAACCAGTTGTTGCTGCATAGCATTGTAATGATATTTTGAATGTGATAAGACACAAATAGCATGGGTGTGTATTTACTGATAACTTGAACCAAAAGCTTTCTTGTCTTCTTGTTGACTGTACTTAGTGACTGTGAACAGACATTCATTTCTGAAATTGAAAAGAAGCAATAGTTTTATCCAGCAATGTTTACAAAGTAAACCTCATGGTTAAAAATAACAATGTGGTCCTTTGCTCTAGTGTGCCCTCTTCATCAATCTTAACCTAAATAGACTCAGAGTAGAACAGAGGCGCATTAAGAAGCCTAGAATGGTCTATCAGTACTTTGGTTTAAAAGAAGTCAACCATTAGGAAACTACTGAACTCCCTACCTTCCTGTGGAAGTGGTGGGCAGACAGGGACACTTTTATAAAGCCTAAGCTGCCTACAATTACGTTTCAGTTTGAACTAAAGTGACTATTCATTAGAAAATTTGCAGAGAGATCGAGGTTTCTGATTTGAAACATAAAGTTCTTTCACACACTAGCCTGTCAAACCCTGATAAATCACAGTCAGTGATAGACAAGTGAAGTGGGGTCTGCTCCGTATCCCTTGACACCTCTGGTGACCCTTAGACTCCCTGGGGTCACGGGTCAGAAGCACTGCTCAGCTGGGGCTAAAAAAGGGAAGTAACCTTATCTACTGTGTAAAAACGAGGCTTCCTTAAGTCACTGGGACAGGACACCCACACACATTAATCACTACAATACATTGCCAATACTAAAGCAAGAAAAGTGTTCCTTTTTTATGAACATTAATATATTACATGCAAGACAAAAATGTGCCTGGGGTCCAGTACATTTTTGGAGCTATTTTATCAAATATTTGCATGGGGAGGAAATAGTGATTAGGACAGTCTAAAGCCCAGCCTTCCTCCTCAAAGACTGAAAATAGGATTTTTATCCGTGTGATGTTAAAACTCTGCCAAAATCCTCTTGTGCAAAGCCACAAAGATTAGATCTGAACTCAGAACATATGCTAAATCTTCAAATGCAGTTGGAAGGGATCAAAGCTCTACAATAAAAGGTTTCGGATATTAAAACATCGTAACCTAAACAGCAGCTATTTCCTCCACTTCAATATGATGAATGATATACTGCGTCTGGAGACACAAAGGAAATCTTAAGTAGATCAGATCTCCTTTCATGAAACTAGGGAACATTTTTTCTGTGATAGTGCAGCACATTGTCATATACATTTTGCTGAATCCAAAAAAACACGTTGCCTCATACATTTTTGAAACACTACAAAAAGTTGCCGACAAACTTTAACTCCAACTTTTGATATAGCTTATCACCTTAAAAAGCATTTCAGCATTAATTGGGTTTTGGTCTAAAACTAAATCTAAAAATGTAATCTTGACAGAAATATACATACATGTGCACACATACCCAAATTGGGAGTGGTAGGGTTCAAAGAGGGCTGGCTTTGGTTTCCCACAGCCTTGAAAAATGTTGCCATTAGCTGGTCTATACTACTAACCCTAATCCTAAACATGAATTTTTTTCTGTGCTTCTTTCTCTCTCTAATCATGTTTTATACTCTACATTTCAGACCAACTATGGAGCCTGTGGCTATTCAGACTGGTTCCTTTCCCACATTCCCCATTTCCATATGGAAAGCCACTTCATATAGTGTGCAGCAATGGGACACTATGACACCAATAGTGGATAATGTAGTTCTATGTTTTAACATTTTGCTTCATAGAACAAATGCAGCAAAAACCACTCACACTATTGAACCTATTTCTAATGTTGAGATGATGTCATTGTCCAAGCCACTGCTAGGTTTCTTCAACAAAAAAACACCTAAATGTGATCAAAATGTTTCCAAGATGCCTAGTGGAACAGATCCGTAGTTACTTGGCGTTTCATGCAGAGCGCTCCTTAAAGGAACAAGTGGCCCTCTATTCTGCTCAGTGACAAATGCATGGGGGTGTTTGAGAATGTGACTTTGCACTAATTGCACCAACACTGTGATCAAATTTTTTCCCCTTAAAATGTCTTAAAGGGGAAAACAGAGAACCAGTCAGTGGAATCGTAGACAAACAGCCATTGACCAAAGGCCTGAATGTGAACTTGCGGTCAGGGGAGGGAGGGGAGGCAGTGCCTCACCTGCCATCATGATAAAAAAGAAACAAACACATAAAATAAATATGAATATTTTCCACTGATCTGTGTTCAATATGCTTTTTCGGTATGACTCTACACATTGTGCCTCACATCCAAATGCGCGACCCAATACAAACTGGGTCACATGACGCGGGTCCGTTTCCGTTCCAGCCAATACAATACTCTGGCTCACATCAAGGGTTCGTACGTGAACTGAAAGTCGACGTCAAGGTAGAGCCAGTAGTAAGTGAAGAAGAGCGTTTTCTATGTACTTCCGGATCCGACTCACCGATTGACGGATTGTATTTCCGGACGGAAATATTTCTCTAAAGTGGACTTTCCAAACGACGGGACAGAAGAGTCGTTCTTTTTAAATGTACTGATACAAACGAAAAGGCTGGCTGTGCGTAAGTCCTGTAAGAAACTGCGGTTACTGCTTTTCTTGCTTTTTTAAATTCTCATTGTGTGATAACGTGTGGACTAACTCGGGATACTGTGACCTGAAACATTTACAAAGAAGCCTCAGCAAACATGAAAGATCCGCCCCGCACATTCAAAGCCAGGTTTCTTTAAGAACTTCTGGAAATTCAAGGCTCGATTTGGCATTGGATGAGCAACGGAGACTAAACATTAGCCTCCATAATGCTAAGGTGGGGGAAAACCGAGAGACACAACCATGGACTTCATCCATAAGTAAAGGTAAGGCTAAAAATGGTTTTAAGTTTTGTTTTTGTTTTTTTTAATAAGTTGGGAGTAAATAGAACAAAATCAAGTACTTGATAACTAAATTTCTGGTCTAAAATATTTATTTTTTTCTTATCAAAATGATAGACAACCTTTGAAAAAAGCACCAGAATTTAAAGTTTGAAAAATAACAATTCTTTACTGAAGGTCAAAATTAAATGCTGTACTCATCTCTATACTTTAATTTGTTTACCATGAATATGAATTGACACAAGAAGGGTGCTCTGTCCATTTCTATAAAAGAAACGTTCTTTGTAGGATAAATATGTTCCTGTGTATGTGTTTGCATTGGTGTCAGTGTCACTGAAAGAGGAATGCTGATGGATATGAAGCATTACCAGGGGATGCTGTTGGATGAACAGTGAAATAAGATGCTCTTTTTGGTTCTTACTATTGTAAATCTGACTCCAGAGGAGTCAGTGCCTCACCAGCCATGGTATTTTCACCATCTCAGCTGTTAAACTGATTGTATCTACCCATTTTGGAAGTAACTCTGAAAAAATAACATCAAACCATCATTGGATTTACCAAGTCAGTAAACTTATTTAAATAATGACAAATAGACAGATGTCTAATGTAATCAAAACTGTCCACTGTTACATCACAAATGACCATTTATTAGGGCATAGGAATATATAAACTCTTCAGGTAATCTTAACTGATGTTATAAAAACAAGGAGTTGACTGTATTTTCTCTTAGATAGGTAACAAATTACTTTTGACCAGAGAAGCTCTTTTCAGCCTTCAATGACTTTACTTCCACTCATGTCTCATTTGCTTTTTAGTTTTACCCCTTGAAACCTTTTTCTTTTAGTTTCATCATGAGGAACTTCCTGATTTTTGAACTGAACAAAAATAAAATCCTGCAGAATAACATCCATTAAAAAAATAAAAGTGAGTCATCATTATTCACAAATTAAGTTTCTATTTCAATCACTTCCTCCCACTTCTCACTGTGCCTTTCAACAACTTGGCAAAAATAAGCACCCTCACAGTTACATGGACATTAATTAACACTCTGTTTGAGTCATTAAGCCATGCCTTTAAAAAAAACATGTCAATCTACCACCTTAAGGTAATTTACTCCCAAGAGTTCAAGGCTGTAAATGAAAACAAATCCAACACTTTTTTACTTTCCAGTTCAAAAAAGTGATTTTTCCATCTATTTGAAGTTCTGCAAGACAGAGAGGGTTTTATGAGTTCAATGAGTTTCAAAGTGCTGAAATTACTTTTAATAAATCTTAAGCAGCCTTTTTTTCTGATTAACATTCCATGTTGAACCGGGTTATAAAATAAAGGATGGGGTTCCGATCATGAGTTGTATGTAAGTCAAAGACATCAAGAAGGGTTCAAGAAAAGCTCTTGTATTAGTCTGGTACTTATGATTATGCCAGGTGTGTACAACTGTACTCAACACTGTCCAAATATCACTAAATCCTTTGATGCTAATAGTAATATCAGGACTTAACAATACTATTTGTTTTATGATGCTTCGTATTATACTTAAGAGGACAACAAATATAACCTTGCAACATACAGGATTTATTATCCAGCCTAAGTGGCCATTATAGGAATTACATCTCAGCAGTTTTACAACATCAGACAGAGCGGAGCAGAGCTTTGTTTAAGAGATCTGTTGTTGCTTTGTCTGCTGTAATGAGTGGGGCTGGTCTGTTTAGAAAGACCTGACTCTACACTTGTCCATGCCATTGTTGATAACAACTGTCCTCAGTGTAAAAGAGCAGACGAGGGGAGAGCTTTTTATGCCTGTGGGGGAGACCAAATTGGCTGATTAGGGTGAACAGAGGGCATTAGTAAAAAAAAAAGAAAATCAATGACACTGATGGAGCATGTGTATAAATAATTGGACCACCAACTCAGTCACACAAGTTAACGCTCTGATTAATGAGCCCAGTGCTGCTTGACCACACACACAGGTTAGCACAGAATTGTAGGAACTGAGCATTGAAGCGTCATCAAATACACAAATCAAATGTCCATGTCATTGCAGAGACAACTGCAATAAATATTCTGCACATTTGTGACCAGAGTGTGTTAGGGACCTGCGAGGCGTGTCGAGGTCTCCACCTCTTTAACACGAGGCTGTAAAATATCTTTAGCCAGACCAGTCAACTTATTCAGCTGGCTGTATGGCCCCGTGACACCCAAGAGGGTTTTACAGCTCACCTCTGAACCTCTCACATAGCAGGTTCACACCCCTAACACACTCTCACAATGAAACAGAGGGAGTGTCCGCTTCTTGAAAAGAGCCGGTAAGAGATGTGCTCTCGGCCTTTGGAGGTTATGTCACATTTTGACCCCGCAAAGTCACACACCAGTATTCATGCCCCTCTCATGTGTGTCCATGTGCTGGTCAGCACTGCAGAGCACATGAATGTTAAACAAAAGCTTATTGTTTAGTAGACAAGCACACACCGACCCCCGACACAATATTCGTGGTCTAGTAGACTGGCATCTCCTCAGTCAGTTACAAGATTAAACATTAAGATGTCGCCATCTTTTTTTCTACTCTTACGAAAAAGATTTTATTTAAGTTGAAGTGAGATACAGTAGTCCCTCGCTATTTCGCGGTTCATCTTTTGCGGATTCACGAGTTTGCTGTTTTTTGAAAACAGGAATGGGACGACAATATGGTTCGATTGGTCCAATTTTGCAACAAAATCGACGACGTCATAACTGCCTACAAGCTACTCTTCGACTGGAAAAAGAAGCAGCGGAAACAACTGCCGATCACAATTTTTTTGCAGCCTCGCAAAAAAGAGCCAGATCCTGCTACTACTACAGATCCACCTTCGGAAACCGTGGAAGAGGGGCCCCAAGAAATGGCACCACCCTCTGAAGAGACGTAAAATCAATAATCGGTTGCGCAGTAAAAGTCATCATCACCTTCCTCGTCATCATTTTACTGCGCATAAATATGGTGTCACTATTTCGCGGAAATTCAGTTCTCGTGGCAGGCCTTGGAACCTATCTACCGCGATAAACGAGGGACCACTGTACTTTTAATAATGGTTATATTTTTTTATAACGCAGCAAGACAAGTGATAGCAAGTGTACATGTCAGATTCAGAAGTCTATTTATTTTGCAGTTGTGTTCTTTGTGGCAGGTCGATTTCTAACTTTTCAAACTCCTTAGTTTGAGTGACAGGTCAGAATCATGACCTCGCTTCAACATGGCTAATGAAGCCAGATACCCACTATCCTGAATCATCTTTACTGTCACGTCTTCTGAAGTAAGCAGCCCATGACGTACTGTGATACTGACAAGAAGACAGCTGACGTGACGAGTGTTTGCTGCTCTTTCTCACCAGGGGGCAAACATTCTTCCGCCTGAGCACGTCAGCAACACAAATACAAGTTGTGGGAGGTGAGGTGAGGTGTGTGTGTATGCACAATAAAGTGTTGGTTACTCTGTGTTTCCAGCTGGTGCCTTTGCAGATGCTTTGTTGACTTAGTGTGTGTCACCACAACGACTAATGGTTTCATTGTTAGCGTAGCTTTTAACATGCAAGTTTATATTAATTGTTTCCTTTCCTGTGCATGTATGTACAGTACAGACATAAGTATGTGTGTGCGTTTGTGTGTGTTTTTACAGGTCGTTAGAGGCCACTGTTTGTCTGGTCTCTGTGGACCACCCACAGAAGCCTTCTCCAATGAGCAGCAGATGGAAAAAGAAAGACAAGGATAACAGACAAGGACTAATATCACCTCAAGAGAGACAGTTGGCTTTTCTGTCACTCCTTCCTTCCATCCTGCCATTATTCTTCTAATGATAAAACCAGAGCACTTTAACTAGCACCACATACAGAGTTAAGTCAAAGGTCATTTGTTTTTTTAAATGGACAGATCTGGTCTGTGTGTGTGTGTGTGTGTGTCTAATGCACTTCTTCCTGAGTATTAGAGAAGACCCGGTCAATTCACTGACGTTCCCACGTCTCTTTCCAAAGCCACAATAGCTACATAATAGAAGACAGTCCTTCTTTACACGCAAATGAATACTAGGCCATACTCTGGCGAAGACACATGTAATTTAAGATGGCCACACTGTATATCACCCACACCAAGCTTTGTAGGAAACAATCAATAAGTTGTCATGTACATCAAGCAAGTTAGTCTGTGTTTTAATACAAAGAAAGTGAAGGAATCACAATGAGATGGAACAGTTCACAGTTTGGTGTATGGTTGACTAAGATTTGTAAAATGTTGAGTGTGAGACGCAAACCAACATTAACAATGTAAGTAAATCATGGCTAGTGAGAAGTGCAAGCCACATCCTGACCACACACACGAAAACACACGAAGCCCCTCCACCCTTCCTACAGAGATCTGTCCAGCAAGACCCTTTAAAGGAGTGGTGTGTGTGTGTGTCGTGTCTGTGTGTGGGTGCATGAGTGGTAAAGAGAAAGGCTTGCCTGCAACATCGGGGGTATAACAACTATTTTTTTGCATTCTTACATAAATAGCTCCTGTACAAACAGTGAACTGACTACAAATGTGTTTTTATTCTCACTTGGCTCCAATGCGTAGGTTCTGCTGAGGCTCTTTGACTATATCGGTTTGATACCACATCTGACAGATTTTTACCTAACAAAATATATTTTCTGCCCAGTCTGTCTCATGTTTTTACTCTCTCTCAAACTTTTAGGTCCTGTACATTCTGCCCCACTCCAAAACCGGCAGCTTGTGCTCTGCCTCCTTGGGAAACCCCATGACCACAAAAGGCCAGACAGACAGAAAAGGCTCATGGGGTATTTCATTCAACTACCAGCCAAGTGTTCAAGGTTAGGGTTTTCAGCAACACGAAGCTTTAAGTTATGAAAACACACACATGTACTCAGACACATTCTCACCACCTTGGGACAGTGTGTATTCTCCTGTTACAGCCTGCAAAGGCTCAGAGACAGTTTGGGGGAAACATAACACAGACTATATAATGTTGATAAGAACAATGAAAGCTTTGTGTGAAGAAACAAACCTGAGGCAGATCTTCTTAAGCCAATGCTGAAATGCAGAGTATTAATAAATATATAAAAACCTATGACAGAGCAATTGAAATCCAGCCTCTGGTATGTGAAGGATTTTTCTGTGTGCAATGTGAATATTTGATGCCTTCACAAGCTGTTGTCTTTTAGCTACTGGTTCCCAGAATTATAACAGTGTATCTGTGTGGAAAGTCTCTGGCTGAACCTTGGTCCAAAGAGGACCTGGCAGGATGCTACACAGATGAGCGCTAGGCTGAAACAAAGGCTGAATAGGGAGAGCGGAGGGAAAATGTCAAGGCTAAAATTTGGACAGGACGTGAGTCTTTCTTTCATTAAATCTTCAGACTGCGGGGACATATAAACCAGACCTCATATGTGACAAAGACAGGTTGAATTAACAGATACACAAGCCAGTGTGTTTCAAGAAATTCTGCTAAAAGCTAACCTCACACTGTTCGAGGCACTGTTCTTAATCTTCTCCTTGTCACTGACTGTCACAGTCACTCTTTTTCTGTTTCTACTGTGTCCATCAGCTGTTCTTTAGATAGAAAAGTGTGAAAATGAACGACATTATTTGTATTTGGATGCTTTTCTCTGATGATGACATTTCAAGACCTGTGAGCAAAGGGAGAGTCAGGTGTGGGGGGGGGGGGGGGGGGGGGGGGAGTGGAACTATGAAGGAGGAAGAGGCAGTGCAGAAATAAAAGAGATATTGAACTCCTGGGATGTTTTTACAAGGTCAGGACTAGAAGACATGCCTCCGCTCAAATGTTTCTCTGGCTTAAGTTTATGATTGTTATCCACGCAGGCAAGAAGGATGTTAAGAATCTCGTCTCTAGTCAAATTAAAACACAGAATGTGTCAGGACTAATTATCATCTAACGATGAAAGTGTAGATTCCTTTCCTTGTTTGTTTTTGCTCTTTGTAACTAATCAGTCTGTGTCTCTTTCTCATTTAGTGTGTCCTGAAAGCCCGTTCTATCCTGTGAGTGTTATCTGCTCAGATTGTGTCACAATGTTATCAGAACCACACAGAGAGACATCAGACGTCTCCCTTTGTTTTCACATGTGGGCTTGTCTTTCTCCCAACTTTTTAAATTGTTCTCCTTAAAGCATAGCGTCTGTGTCTCTGGATCCTGTCTGTGGACCTTGTGTCAAAACAAAGCCTTCAGGAAAGGCACATTTAAACAACTTTGTCAAAACATGAATGAACAAACCCTGCTCTTACCTCACAGCTTGGCTGAGGCTCAGCTGACCAGCCAGCTGGCTATTGAAGTATTTATGACTTGCTGACCCTCAGGCCGCCTCCACCCCCATCAATTAACCCAAACTCCTGACTCATCTGTGCGTCATTTAGACACACCCTTCACCTAAGCACCTGACAAGATTGGTGAAGGGCATTTGTAATCAAATCCTACTGCATTACTATAAACGCAGCCTGTAATTATTTTTGATTTGGTAAATAAATCAAAATTTGTGACCACTTTCTTTCCTTTTAAGTTTTCCTTTATTGACCTATGCTGGTGTAAAACTTGGTGGATGTCTTTGACATACACTTTATATTTCTCTTGGGCCATGTTCTCTTTACAAGTGTCTTTGAAAATGTTTAGAACGGAAAACCCACAAAGTCAGAACACTAAATCTTTGACACGTATATCTACAGAGTACCATGTGGACTGTGACCTGATGATTAACACATGAGAATGTCTGCTCAATCAAAAGACATAATCAGTGACACTTGTGTCTATATGGCGTGTGTGAAACCCATATCTAATCCTAACGTGTTTAATAATCCCACTGGACTTGTGTGGAGTTAAAAAGGAACCACATTTGATGAGCTGATAACTACGTTGGCAGCCAGACTGTTTTTGGAGGCTTCATGTTGCTCTTTGAGGTGGAGAAGTGACGGGGGTTTTGAGAGGTCCGTCTCGTTTGAGCTGTGCTGCATTTAACTGCTGTCTGCATGACTTCCTCTGCAGTCTGCCCTGTGCATCACAGGCAGCGGCACACAAGAATAAGGACATATATGTGGTCAAATCTACATGAACATGTACAGAGCCATGTGTCCAAGTTTGTCAGTGCACACAGAGAAAAAAAAGTCAATGTCTTAGTAAAAAGGCTCCAAATAGATGGTGTATTTAAATATGAAACGAAGCTGCAGAGAAGCAGCTAATTTTCCAAAGGCACCCAAAAAAGGCATCTTTTTATCAGCATGAAATTCCACCGCATACCACTCTATTCCCTCTTCTAACCTCTCCCTCCCCTGTAACAGTCAATGGGCAGATTATCTCAGAGCTGGAGAGGAAACTTGGACACTATCTGTTCTGTCCTGTGTTTGTCTGCAACACACAGTCAACCCACAGAGCACTGGGGCAGGGTAGGAGTGAGGACGGCCATCAGAGAGAGCACAGCAGATGTGGATGAATAGACAAAACCCCATTAAATTACTGCTGTGGTTCAAATAGAATGTTGAAGGCATTCACACATAGATGTTACGGCAGCCAGGCAACACATATAAAGGCATATTTTCTGCAGGAAAAAAAAAATAGGCAAGTCTGTTATTGCAGCAAACACCTAGTGCCCTGATAGTCGAGCTGTGAAGGATTTCTCCACCACATAAACACAACTTCCACTCAAATGCAGACTTAATCCTCACAATTTTCAAAGATGGTGATTATGCATCATAAAGAGGCTTTTGACTTTACAGCAGAGATGATTGCTGAAAAACTAAAACCTAACCATTATATCACATTCAGATTACAGCTTATACACAGCTAGTGTTATGTTTTCATCATCAAATCAAATTTGAAAAAGTTTTTTTTCCATTTTGATCTTACTGACAGAAAAAGACTAATTTACAGTTAATAGTATCCGGACATGACAGTGTCTTTTTCTGGTGCCTGCATGTGTTTCCCATATGGCCGTGCTCTGAATGTGCTCCTTCTCTCCACTAACCACAAGGGACTTACAGGAAGCCTCTCTGTAGATGGTTTGGGTCTAAATATGCTGCGTATGCTGCTGTGGCTTTCTTAATCACCGCTTCTCAATGTGCATGACCTTGACCTAACAGGTGACTTCTCTCTGGTTGGCACTGGTTGCAGAGTTGAAAATGGAAAAATACTTTTAAGCAGGCAGCAGAAATGGAACATAGTTAGGATCAGAGCCAGGAATGACAACAAAACAATTAGAAGATGCCAGAGAAACGGCTAAGGCACTGTTACTGGGGTTACAAAACAGATGGCAGAGCTCCATGCTAAATAATGCATTTTTTCCATCCTAATAATAACAACACAGTTATCAGCACATCTGGTCCATTTTGTTTATAATACAGAGAAAGACACTGAGCCTCAACGTTTGCTAGATGTTGCTGATAAAGCAGCAGGCTTGACACAAACACATTCCACCGTCTAGTAAAGAGTGGGGGAGACAGTGAGGCCGTAGCAGGTGGGGAGAGAAGTAATGAGTGTTGTGTCTGCTCATAGTCATGATGGAAACTAATGAGAACATACATACAACTGCTGCGCATCTGGCACTGAGTTCAGACAGGTGAGCAACACACTCTCAGGCCTGTGCTCTATTTTGGGAAAACCCTTTTAAAGAAGAGGCTCCACCCAACTCTCCACTCACACAATGTATGGATGCCGGTTTAAGGGCCACACAGACGTCCAACAATGAGCTTGTAGCTCTACATGCATTACTTTGTAGCTCTTGCCAATGGAGAGAACACAGCAGTCAATTGTTCTATCGGCTCCAAGTCAGATGCTCAGATCTCAAGTGACTTTTTACATTTGATTTTGTGACAGTTTCATCTGCTGGGATGGACTGCACAGGGATCCTCTGCTGTTTATGGCTTACCTCTAATCATGAGCGTTGCAGACTTTGAGTTGTATTAACACCATTGTCACAGGAGCCACAGTAATATTTAAATTTTCCCACACGATCTGACACTATTTCCAACTTCCCTGGAAAATTGGCACACTGCTGAATGTCTGAAGGTGTTTCCAAACACCAGGCAAATAGCTGTAAACTATTGTGCAACCTGATGAAAAGGATTTATGAGACTGAGGGAGATTTTATGGAGCATGAATTGTGTACAAAGTATGGCAGTTTCGCACTGATACAATTTGGCCTTCAAACCAATGAGGGTGGGAACCTGGAGTAATGAAGCAGAACAGCAAATTCTTGACAGATTGCTTCTTTCTGCCGACAGTGTTTGCCGACTCCACCCTTGGTACACTCACAACCTAGTCATGCAAGTCTCAAGCAAAAGTATCTTCTCCTTGTATGTTCTTTTATATGTTGATACAAGAGGTTTGGCTTTTTAAAAAAAGGTGTGTCAGATCTTTTTTTGGCTACTGCTGTTTACCGCAAATTCACTAATGAAGCCATAACAGTGCTATGCAAACTGATACTGGAAATATCCACATTTCCCTTTGCCTGTACATATTATATTATGAACAAATAATGCCTTTGTTGAGTTAGTGAAAGTAAAGCAGTGAATGAATGGATGAATGCCTTCAACATTTGCAGGTATGAGGAGGGAGTCGTTTTATGTGCATGACTGTATCCAAGTGTATTTGCTTTTCCAGGGTAACATATCTGAATATTGGCATTGAACCTGCACACACTGTGGCTTTTCACTGCGCTGGACAAAAAGCTCTCTCTTGCAGCCTGTTTACAAAAACATCAGCTTAGACTTGAAGGGAAAAGGGGAAAATCTTAGATTTCCTGGCTTGCTGAAAAATATCCCAAAAAAAAAAACTGCCTGTGTTTTTGCATCGTCAGCATAGGGATGCAATCTCAAGCCTCTTTCCTTTAACACACAAACTATTACACACAAGCAAAGTTAGCCTTAGAACAAGTTCTGGACAATCCGGACACAGACGATCCAACCAAAAGAAATATACTGTATACATATACATATATATTTTTAGTTTCATTACACGTTCAGATGATCTTATCTGTGATTGGCTGCTTCTGCAAATCTAGAATGAAGCTGACTGAATTTAACAAAGAGTGGAGGTGCCAAAACTAGGTGCATTTGGAACTGCTGTTTCCAATCTAGACTCCACAGTAGCAATGACGTCATGCACAGCGGGACCTTTCAACAAACCCATTAGTACCAAATTTGAAATGCTCTCAGCTGTACAAAATATAGCCAGAGAGCTCTGCTGCCTTCTTTCTATCATACAGGACAGATCCCTCTCAGAAACCGCAGCCAGGAATCAGTGCTGATGTACAGTATGTGGCACACCAGCTGCACGTGTTTCTATTTTCACGAGACAAGTAAGCAATTCTGGCTGTACAGTTCTGTCTGGATGCAGTAAAAACCTAACCGCGCTTAATCAGGAATTGGAGAGATAAAATCGAGATAAAAATGTAATGTAATCAAATGTAAGGCTGTTTTTAATTCTGCTGTTACAATTTTTTCATCAATAGCTGCCTTGTAACTTTACTCTGCAGTATCTGTCATTCTTATTCTCATTTCCTCTATCAGTGCTTTACTGTAAACAGTGTTGAAAACCATGACTCATGCTGTTGTACTGCAATAGGAGTATGGCTGGGGACCAGAATGATGTGTGTGAGGGAGAGAGTGAACCATCTCCTGGGCTTTGGGGTTAGATTTGAGCTAATCTGACTTTATTAATCAACTCATGTAGCAAACACCCATATAAAAGTAGGGAACTGCAAAACAAAGCCTTGCACAAAGCAGACACATATTTGTGGTGTGATATCTGTAAAAGCATTACTCAGTTTTCTAAGAATAGACGGGTTACTGTGGGCGGCCACAGCAGAGCGTGCTAAAACACGTGCACAGGATCAATTTAACGGGTTAGTGTTTTCACAGCTGGGACTGGACAAGAAGCCAGTACAAACTGTAAAATGGACCATCAGTGTGTTTGTGTGTGGCCTAAGGTGGCACAGTTACACTCCAACCCTCTAACCTAAATATAAACTGTAGTATTTTCAATAGAATTATTGTGCATTATCCACTAAAGCAGTGGTTCCCAAGCAGCCTCAGAGACCCACCGTCACCCTGTAACGACAAGTCACAACACAAATGGAGGGAAACATTTAACTTCTCAGATTTACTGAATGAACAGATGGAATGGTTAGAATTTGAGATCAGATCTCACAGTATACTTTGAGCAGGATGACATAAGACACTTCTGTGAATTCCTCAGAATGTGGAACTGTCTTCTGAGGTACTGTATGGGTTCATCTTTAAGAGAATGGCCTTCTGTTTTCAAATACCGCAAGTGAAATGTAAGGTTTCACGTCCCACTGAAAACTACACTATGACCGACTTTTGGGTTCCGACCCAGCAGTTGAGCTTCACTGCACTAAAGCCATAAGACTCAAGGCCTCGTAGAATGTTTGTTTACAAATGTCATCTAAATTCAACTGGACAGCTACTGAGGCCAAATACAACAGTGACTGTGTAAATACACTGTGTGTACTGCACACGGATGAACTCAAGCCATATCCTGATATGTTTCCCATTATTTGATCATACTCCAGATTTGTGGAGCACACAATGTATTTTCAGAGCTGGTTTCCCCATCTGTGTGACCACAGTGCTGGGCCGTTTTCCCTCTATCTTTTTGCCCACTGTTCCCACGCCTCTTTTTGGGCTAAACACATATTATACTGAGCAGCAAATCATATGCTTTGTTCTCTCAGGGCACCTAAAACACACATTACTTATTGATTTTTACTACACTCATACTGTATACCCCAAAGCAGATAAAAATATCTATCCATAATACTTTTGCTAAACCTAAATGTTTTGCAGGTTGTTTACTAGGGTTGAGATAATATTCCTGAGTTTCCATTTAAATAGAAGACCTGGAGAGTGATCCCTTTATAATGAATACCCATTGATCAGCTTGTTAAATACCAGAGGACCCAATCACAAAAGGCTGCTCTTGAATTACCAATAAATACAAACTGTGGTTATAACTAGTTTCAAAAACAACTTTGTTGGCCTCCCTTTGCCATAACTCCATCTAACTTCAACCTGTAAACCTTCTGAGGTTTCTGTTTAATTTTCAGACTTTGATCAGTGGGATGTGTTGAACCTGTGCTGTTGTTATTCGTCTTTGTTGTCAGCACCAGAAATAATGGAATTATAATTAAAGAGCACAAGAGACCAAGGACTTTTGTGATGAGATCAATCATGGAATTCAAATGAAACTGAAAGTTTGCGTTTAAATAGCTTTTCATTACAGCTGATAGTTAAGCATTTGCCATTAAGGATTGATTAGACATTGAATTCAGATAACTCTGTGAGAGTTACCAAAACTCAATATTTTGAAAAAAGAGCCAGAAGCAGCCTCTAGTTCCTGCTTTTAGTTTGCATGTTGACATTGGTTAAATTACAGAGAACAAAATGTAAAAAGAAGTTTGAGGTTTCTCCAGAGCTTGCCCAGTGTCTCTGAAGCTATGTAAAAAAAAAAGAAAAAACTTTCAGCAGACAATGTCTTTGCCAGTCATAAAGATCAATTATCTCGCAACCATTTCCACTGTCCATTAGTAGAGCTACTACTCTGCACTTCAAAATGCCCCACTGTACCATCAGTACAAATTACACCGGGAAGAGCTCGGCCACATAACCTGGTCTTGTGAAGCGAAATTAAAGACAAATGGATTCTCCTGAATAAGTGTACAGTACAGTGGTGGAGCCAGTGCAGGGCATTTTGAACACATACAAACCAGACCTCAGTCCGTGCGTGTGTGTGAACGTGCTCATGCAAGTGTGTGCATGCATGAGTGATGAATAAGATCCTGGCACATCACAACCAAGTTCCTCTAATGCACTCCCTGTAGACCAGAAGATATAAACAGATAAAGAGAAGTAGACATAAATGCANGAGGGCGATGGGGAACAGCTAAGAGTGAGAGTCAGCAGGAGAAGGAAGGCGCAGAGGAAAGAGGGAGTTTTCAGAATTGTTATTGGAGCCGTAGAAGTCTTTTTTGGCTTAAATTGTTCCAGATGTGGGCCAGCCCTTGAGAAAAGGGAAGAAATGGGAAATGGAGGGGAATCAGGAGGGTTAGAGGAATATTTATCGGACTATGTCCTTCCACATGATCATGTAGTTAAACCCTACTATTTGGTGAGTGGTTTGAGACCCGAAAATGGGATTTTTGCCTGTGTGTGTGGGTGTGTGTGTATAGGTCTGGTGGCTGTGGTGGTAAAGGGAATCAGTGGGGTTTGGTGGGGGCTAGGAGCCAGGTTTTGGGTGTGGGGTGTCAGGCGGTGAGGTGATAGAGGGGTGTGTGGCTAGTAAGGGTCTATAAAAAGCTGGGGTGGTCAGAATAATGGTCTTTTGTTATTACACATACACAAGTTCATTCATGCTTATGCCTACACACACACACACACACAAACAAACAAAAGCCAGTGACTGAACTGACAAAAATAGGCCCTTTAACTTAACCAAAGGACATCTGGTTAAATACTGGGACAAAAGCTGCTCTTTAACTTATTTGGTGAGGAAGTATCTCCAACCCAAACATATACAGTGGTATAACAGATGTCCAGTGCACTGCACCCTTTTCAGCACTTCTATGTTTAAAATGTGATGACACTGAGGGTTGCTATGCAGAATATGACAAGTGAGAACGAATAAGGGAGTACAAGTGCAGCCTGACCTCAGGCCCTGTCCTGTTCTCCACATATTGGCAGTGTTTGCATGAAAAAATGAGCTGGGCCATGGCAATATCTTAACTTAGATCAATAGTACATCTTTTAATTGCAGCCTGCAATAGTGCCCCCCCCCCCTTCCATTCACTCATTCTCCATTGGGGTAAGCAGCAGGATCGCACAACAAAGGCCTATTGTGCTAGAATGAAAGCCTCTGCTACAGGGAGCTGGTAGTGGGCCACAAACGAAGGCTGGCAACATTGTTCCGACACAAGCTCATGATTCAGTGAATGTGCCAAAACTGCCATGTTAGAGAGCACTGAGCATCCTGGAAAAGCTAGGAGAAGATGACGACGAGGATGGACCTTTGATGGAGGGCAGCCAAACACAGCAGGGTTACCAGTGGTGAAGTCAGCGTAAACATGAGGCTGTGTCAACAGACAAGCTTCCTGACTGGGTTGTGTGTGTGTGTGTCTGTCGCCTCAAAACACTGCAGCGGAGCAAGTGACATGTGAGGACTCAATCGTGAAACTGACGCGAGTCAAGTGGTTAAAATTAAATTTGGCAGCAGTGGTTTCTCCAAACACGACCCTGGTCAGAGGAGAAAATGCTTCCTTTGTTCCAATCAAATGCAGCTGAACTCTTATTTTCCTATTATGACACTTCACATCAGCAAGGAATCAATCAAAAGTTAATGCATAGAACGCTGCAGTTGTATCCAACAGTGGGCCACACCTCAGATACACGTGGTCTGTGAGGAAGTGGAAAGTTCTGACCAGCACTCTGAAAGCAGCGTGTGTGTGTTTCTGTGCAGTTCTCACGAGGCCAAAAAGTCGCATGGTGAACCTTTGGTTAGAGTTAGCAGTAAGAAGAGAAGTTTGTTTAAACTACAGTTATGGAAAGGATGGAGGCCATTCAGCCACACCAAAAAGTGTGGGCCACATTATGACGTACACAACACAGACACTGGATCATTGTGACTTAACATCACATCATCAATTAAAGAGTTGAGGGTAAAAATGAACTTTATATTTACCATTGGCGTTCTTCCCGCAGATCAGGTGCTCATAGTGCTGCAGGACCCCCCACAGTTCTGCGTCATTGTTCACCACCATCTCCAGGGTCTCTGCGCTGACTTGGACGCAACCTGAACCCGAATCGGGCGCAGAGTGACCCCTCTCGGCTGTCAGGACCCGAGCTCCGATCTCCTCCACCAGAGCCTCCATGCACGCAGTCAGACATATAGCCGCGTACTCGTGGATGCGCACCGAAATACGGGTGTCCACCATCCAGCGGAAGAACCGTCCCACTGAGAAGGAGAGCCCGCACCGGGCGGACTTGCCCTTCCTCAGCACTTCACCTGCGCTCATGCTGTACATGGAGATCGCTTTGACCGTTGCAGAGACGCAGTGGTCAGCCAGTGCCCAGCTGAGCACCAGCCTCATGGCGCTCTGCACCTCGAAGCGTGTGCAGCGACAGTGCATGACGCTGAGCCGCTGCGCCTCTCTGGAGATGTGGATCAGAGCCCGGCGCAGCAGAAAGGACAGCCGCTTCACGGCCTCCGGGGAGAACACAGGTGTTGGACCCGCTCTCATGCATCTTCTCTCGGAAACTTTGCGCAGTATCTTGGCCACCTCCTCCTCTGTCCAGGGGAACTCCTCCAACTCAGGTAAGCGGGGACACTTGGAGAAGATGTCCTCGGGGTCCTCGGGTAGGACAGTGTTGACCGTGTCCCAGCTGTTGTTTCTGCTGTTCATGGAACCAGAGTAGTACCACCAGTTGCCCCTGTGGGTGGCCGACATAAATGCCTGGGAGTTGGACTTGGAAGAGGACAGGCTGAGGGACTTGCAAGAGTCCCCTGCCCCGTAGCCCGAGTCCAGCGTCAGGTCCTCCAGCGTTTTCATGTGGACATTGCTCAGACCAGCCATTGTCGTGGGAGAGCGGAGTCGCAAAGACCGAGGTGTTTACCTGGAAGTCAATCAAACAGAAACTTCCGAAGAGCTGGACCAACTGGTTACGCCGCACAGCACTTGTCTGACATGCTGCTTCAAAGAGTTTCTGAAGTAACAACTGCACCAAGAACTTTAAACCATTTGTTGTTTAGAAACAGAGGCGGCAGGAAAATTAAGCTCCATCCGTCTCACCTTTCCCCCTGACAGGACAGGGATTTAAACTTTTCTCCTGAGTCCTGCAGCGCTCTCTATTCCCTCTCTCTTTACAAACGTCACCAGGTCCGTTATTTGGTAAATAGTTAGTTCAGCGACTCCAAATTTTTGCGTTTTCAAAAATCTTTAAATCGAATGAAGTCCAAAAAAAGTCCGCATTTACTTAATTGTTCCTCCAACTCCGGTGCGTGCTGAGGACTCTGGAGGAACGGCTCTCATCAGAGAGCTTTCAGCTTCAGATGTGTGGGGGAGGGACCACTGCTGACTGTCAGGACTAAAGGACCAATGAGAAAGGAGAGGCGTTTTTCACAACCAACCAGAACCTGAGCGAAAACTTTCCAACGTTAAAAAGAGAAAAAAGTGATTTAGTTTAGTCCCAAAAGTGCATCCAACCAATTATCCTGTTTTTCTTCCCAGCGTACAGACTCACAGGAAGGTGGAGACATAATCAGTGGTGAATTGAGGCGAGCACGGGCCTGGGGCCCGACTGTTAGTTGGGTTAAAAAAAAAACCCAACTAACAGTCACTTAATTGTATGGACAGTGTCTGTCCCAGCTCATTTGAAAAACAAACATTATTTAATTGTATTTTAATCAAACAATACATTTCTATCTTTGTAGTAAATACATTGTCGTACTTCCGCAAACATGATAATAAAAAATTAAACATTTGATGTACTGAATGTATCTTGTTGTTAATCAATGTGGATTACTTTGTTGCACACTGATTATTTATTACAGTTACAGAAAAAACTAAACTTTTCTAATTTGCTCTTATCTTTCAATGCCCCAGACAACTACCTTAAATAAAGACGAGGCCAATTTCACTGATGTCATTTGCATTGATTTGATAAGATCAGAACAGTGTGAATCCCTCCTTTCATTTTGATAACGGACCTCAGAATAACAGTAACCTCAGTGGTCTGAGTCGGACTATTCTTGTCATATTATTATAATGATTATAAAGAAAACAAACTACACTGAGTAGATCATTACGAATGAGCATTTTTCCTTCTCCACGTTCTCACTTGTGCTCTATCTCCTTTTTGATTCTTGCCTGCCGTAATACTTTACTTTATTGTACGCTTTCCTTGTTTGAGATTCAACATAGTAACAAAGACTATATTCAAATGATATTTAGGAGTTCTTCTGAGTAGTTACGTTCGTATCATGCCGTCTCCTCCGTTGACTCAGGGGCGCTTTAGTATGTTTCCCCCAAGGGGGATGAATAAAGCCCTACTCTACTCTACTCTTAGCTTTGTGTTGGCACATTAGTTAATCTCTCACCTCCAGCCTGTATGAGAACTTGAATCTGTATAGATTTTGACAGTGGAGTGAAAGGCAGAACAATGTTTGCTCAGATTTAGCAAGGATTTTGAGTTTTCACTGAATGTGCCTTTTAGAGCTTAGATGGGATCGTTCTGAAGACTGAAGTGGAGTGGTATAGTAGTGTGGAAAAAAGTAGATAAAATGTCTTTTTTCTCTAATTCTGTGGCATTATGTTGTAGGAAACTGGCAAATAAAAAAATAAAGTGCGGTCAACTTCTCACATCAGCATGCAGACAGGTTTGTTAAGGTGGTGAAACACATGCATCAGCATGCAAACATAAACCAGACTTGTTGAAGAGGTGTGTGCCTACCTTATTATTCTATATATGTACATAGACAAAGGAGTGTGTGTACAACATAATAGGATGATGACAGGACATCAATCCTGCACTGATGAGTGATAGGTTGACGTTCCTGCGTTTTTCCCTGTGAACTGAAAGCTGTCAGTCGCAGGAAATTCCAAACCATGTATGATGACCCAAAGGTGGAACGCATGACCCTACAACATGTGTGTATGTCACACATCACAGCATGTGAATCACACAGTCTGGGGAAGTGAGTGGGGTTTTCAGTACAGTAACTAACACTACCTTGTACTGCTTGGTTTTGGTCGATGATGTCACACTCCCAGGCTGTAGGGGAGAACACAGCGTTGCCTCATCTAAACCTCATGTAGCTGCGGTGTAGACAAAGATTTCCTCATGGGCTAGTCCCCTCCCCCCCACACACACACACATACACACCTCCCAGTCAAGAAGGACAATGTGGGGGATCAACATTTTATGATACAATAATCTGGAAATAATTAAATGCTTTTTGCAAACAAGTCAGTTCTGTTTAAAGTTTCACTCTCGAGATATTTTCTGCTTTTTTCTCTGCCATAAATGAAAAAAAAAACCCCAAAAAACAAAAACATGATATTATTTTATTAGAAAAAAGGATAGTGATGAGCAGCAGCAGGGTTTCATGGTATTACCTCTGACAAGAACATGGTTTTTACCCATAACCATGTGTTGTCGATTGGCTATAGGAGGAAAAGACAGAAATACAAACAAAGAAGGAGACAATTCTTTTTATTATTATTTTCATAACGGCTGACTGAAGGTGTGTCACTTCTAAAACACTTTGGAACAGTCAGTGACCTCAGAGGATAAGGAAATCTGGACAAGGTTACCAACGTTTTTGTGTAAGGGGTTTTGAATGATCACAAATCCATTAAGAACATGTTAAAGCTGTGCTGCATTTGTATTCGTTTGTGGTTGTTTGTTTGCATGTTAGTCATTTAAACTGCATCCGTGTGAATGACCCTTGAACCACCGGAGTGTTTAGGATACTCATTAATCAAATTTACGTTTTCGTGTAAACATGAACCAGTCGATCCCTAAGCCTGATCTGCATTTATTCTTCTCCGTCGTACAAACCAACCCATGCTCTGCTTTTGCATTTCACCACTATAAGGGTACAGCACCACCTTGTGGTTATATCAGGGGGAAATGTTCAAAGACAAAAAAAGAACTATAAAGCAGCTTCTATTAAGATTAAGTAACTGTTTGTAGTTTAAGAAAATATTTAGATTTAGAAAATCATTGTTGAGGCTTGACCAAGCTGCAAAACCCTGGTATAGCATCTTGAATGTATTCATGCAGTGACTGGTGTAAAACCACTTGGCTGTAAGCAGAAAACTTTATTTGCAAAAAAAAACAACAGATGAAAATAAAATTACAATACATTCATAAAACCATTTGTCTACAAAACAATTTCCCAGAAATTACGTTGGAATGCACTATTCCATTTTTCATTTTTGTGTTTCATATATATAGATACATATATATATGTATATATTTATTTATATTATTATTATTCACTCCAACTCCAAGTCCCGCAAAGGCAATAAGCGAGTGTTAGAGGGCGTTATTAAAAACTGTGCAGTAAATCCAAGATTACTGGCTGGTCTCCACCTACATCTGTCCAACCGTGAGCCCCCACAGCCACGATGAAAGAACCAGAAACAAGAGGATTTCTCACTAAACAGCAGCTGCCACTGAGGCTCCGTCACACCTTCTGTTCTTTTAGTAGTCATTAAACCAACCCTACTTCACCACTGAGGACAAATGGCTCACAACAACCACACCCTCTGCGTTTTAACAGCATGACAAAGACAGACACGTCTGGAATCCATTGAAGATAACCACACATCCCCCGTTACAGTGTATCTGAAGTACAGTGACAATACAAACTGTTGATAAATAATTTATTTTCATCCTACTGTCATTAGTTATTAGAGAAAAAAACTGCCTGCAGCCCAACCCCTGATAAAGGCACACAGTTGTGAAACAACCACATAGTGTCCAATACAAGTTTAACCCTTTCCTCCGTGTTTTTACCTCAAAACCACATTTGAATCTGACGGTGAACAAAGGCATGGGATGAAAACCGAGTCACAAGAACATTCCACTGCGAACCTTCTGTCACAGTTAAGTGTTCCAGTCAGCAGTAGAAGTTTAATCTCTCTCCTTCTCTATTGTGTTAAGTGTAAATGACGTACAAAACACGTTAGAACAGATACAGCAAATTAAAACCCATTTTAAAATAAATTAAACAAAACCCCACAAAAGCAGCAGAACAAATTTGTGTTGACCACCAAATTATTAGCAACAGCTTCTTTTGGGTGCACTTCTGTTTTACAAAACAGCAGAAGAAAGAAGAAAATTCAGTTTGTTTTAACCCTGGATTATGAAGTCAGAGTGAGACAAAAAGAAGAAAACTGAGGAGCAGATGTTTGGGTTGGTCCTGGTGGGCCACGTAGAGAGCTAAAGGTGATCAACTCTGAGTCTCTGATTAAAAGAAATTGGTTATTCCAATGGGAATTCCCTGGCCTCTCACCAGTACTGGACTGTGTAGAATTAAACTAGTCCATTAGGTGGCAGCTATAAAAACTTCAAGTGGGTCGTTCTTCAATTCCTGTGAGTATAGCAGTGTTTTGCACAACTAAACAGACCTTGGATTTATACTGAATAAGTAAATTGTGAGTTGATCAAAACTAGAAGTTCTTTATATTTCATTACATACGTTTTCTGACATTTTTTTTGGCGTTGTGCTCTGGGATTTTTCAAATGTAAAATATGTGCTGTGGCTCAAAAATGGTTGGAAAACAGTGCAGTAATGATATTCAACAGGTAGTAGTTTATTAGGGGTGCAACAATACATGTATCTGTATTGAACCACTCGGTTCAGTACAGTGGTCTCGGTTCGGTATGCACTAAGAATTGAACAATATGCAATTATATATTTATTTGATCAACTTTGAACGCTGCACCTTGGGCTGAAAGCTGAGTAGATCTGCACTCGACTACTCCTCCTTAGAGTGCATTGTCGAGCGCAGATCCACTAAGCTGTGTTTTTTAAGGTGGCTTGCCATGATACCTTAAAGAATCTCTAAGGTGGTGTTTTGACATCTCTATTTATATTACTGAATAAGATAGTTTTTGTTTATTTAGTGAACTATTTATTTTAAATATAAACTCTGCTGCGTAAAATGCACCACAGAAAATGGATAATTTATCAGATTAATTTATTTTATTATTAATATTCTAACTTTACGTACGCACAGCAGAACAGGAGGCAGGTATAGCTGCAACAGATACATTTAATTTAAATTCAAAACTTTACAAAAAAGGCATGGAAAGTTTACTTCTTTGTATCCAAAATATATCAAACCATGACACTTAAGTATTGAACCGGACCGAACCGTGAATTGTGTGTATGATTGCACCCCTATAGTTTATGTGTTAAGAAATGCTGCCACAGCCAGAGTTCCTCTAATTAAACCTCACCCACCACTGTATTTGAATCGATCCTCATAAAAGCTGGTTAGAAAAAGATCTTAGGTTGTCTTCACATCCCCGTGTTAGAAAAAGGTGCTTCCTGCACACAAAACACACAAAAGCGTCACCCCCCCCACAGCACACACACACACACACACACACACACACACACTCCCCCCACACACACAAAATCGTGCACACACACACA